AATGTTGGTAATGGTCTTTAATGTCTGACTACATTAGTCAAGACGGGAGTTCTTGAAAGTTACATCTTGGCAGCAAGGAATGAGATGCAAGAGAGAGAGTTTACATGCGTTTTGTTTTTATAATTTTTTTGTACCACATGACAGGCTCAGAGCATATTGAGCAGGAAAACAGATTTGTCGTGTGCAGGCGGTTTGATTAGTCGGAACTGACCAATCAGCAAGCTAGATTGAAGGTAATTAACCAATGAATGCTTGTCCTCATCTTTGTTGCCATATTTATTACATTTCAGCCGTTGTACGCTCCAGACTTCTTCAGGTGGTTGCTATCCACTGTGTCATGTGTTCTTGAGGACACATAGCACAGTGGATAAAGGCATTAGTTAGATCTAGTGACAGGACCCAAAGAGTGTGAGTTCAATACCCGGTTAAGGCAGTGGAGAACTTTCAGAGGGGAATAAACAGGAGATAACTGATAACTAACATCTATTAAAAACATGGCATGTGGAACTAGAACAGTCTATTCCAGTGAGTAAAATAAAGGGTTCAGTTCGACATTCCAACTACCTGAAGGCTGGAGTGTACAACAGCTGAAACGTAATAAATATGGCAACAAAGATGAGGACAATAGTCTGAATAATGTAAATAGGAAATGACTATATTCAATGATAATCCAATACTTGTTTCCGCCTTGATTTGAAGGAAGTGATCCCTTGAAATCTATATTCAATCTTTTAAAGAGTGGCTTCAATTAATTTGCCTTCTCTCACAAATCTTGGCTTTTCTATAGCACACAGACAATCTTTTTCAGTCATTCTATTTACTTCCTCTGTTGTATAGGGCAAATTTCTCAACCTGATAAAGTGCATAATTCTTGATACTTCAGGATGACAGGTTATTATGTAATACCTTAAGGTGGATATTCACAACACAAGTGCAATTTACTTTCGTTAACACATCTGGACATGTGTTTTTGATGCCCGGTCAATATTTGTTAGTGGAAAGTTAAATTTGCCAATGACGAATTTTGTCATTTTTAGTCTTTTATGCTTATTGGAAATGTAGGATAAACCGTTTTTGACAAGAATAAAATATTCACTTGTCAGGTTATGATTCCATTCCCTGATGCTTCAAGGATCATGTTAACTTCTTTCTCTACTGGGGAGTGGTTTTGTTTAGAGTTCTGGACCAGAATGGTACAGGCCTGCCTCTTTGATTTAGCCTTGAAGCTAAGCACATGTAGCTAGCATCAGCTTCAATTTCAAGGGATTTTTCCTCATCTAGATTGTGTACTACAGCACCCTTCTAATTCCCTTTTCAAGTATTCAAAAAGGAATACTATTTTAGTAGATAAGGGGAATATAGTGACGTATAGCACATGAATTTTTGGGAATAGTTTAGGATCCAATAATTGTAGTAGCAAACATCCTGATAATTCTCCTCTGCAGGAGGGGAGGTTCTTGCAGAGGTTTCATCCTTTCAGAGTCTGGTCTAACAGTCCCTTTGCTTAATTCACAGCCTAAAAGTTTTATTTTCATTACATTGCAGACACATTTATTCTCATTTAAGTTGAAAACGTACTTTTCAATCAATTCTTTGAATCTTGCCAAATTAGTGTCATGTTCTTTCATTAATACTGCAAATTGTCATGTCATCTATATACAAATTTTCCCTTTAGGCCTTCCTTTTCAATTATTTCATCCAAAATTCTTTGAAACCAAGCTACTCCATTTGTTATCTCAAGTGGCATCCTCTTGAAATTATACAATTTTCTGACTTCAAAAACTGTACAAGAGTGGTTTGCTTTATATAAGGGAACTTTATTATACATACTTTTTAGATATAGTTTAGAGTACGGAAAAACCATGATTCTAATCTTAGATATGGGGTAGGCATCTTTTCAGGTAAAACAATTTATCGTTTATGAATAACATATGACTAACCATTTTTAGTTTTTCATCCTCAGTTACCATTACTTGCACTCTCCATGGAGATTTACTGGACTCGAATATATCTGAATCCAACAGGCTTTTTATTTCCTTCCTTATAAATGCTTCTTCTCTAGAGTATCTTCAGCATTTCACAGATATAGATTTACAGTCAGGCAACAAATTTTCAAACAGAGGAAGTGAAATCCTCATGCTAGCTTGTCCACAGTTTTAGAAGTGATTTGTCACTCATGTAAAATTTTTGTAAGTTTCTGTACTCACCGTAAGATTCCCTTTACATTTTCCTACAGTTTTTTAATAAGTCAGAAGCCATGCTTACAGGAGAGTTAGTAGGTCTAATGTCCAAACAGACTGACTGAGCTATCTTGGAGTTGATAAAAATATGACTACTTCCTGAATCTAATAGGGCAGTAATTTTTTTTTGTGGTTCACAAGGCATTTTACTGTGGCTTTCAAAACTCCCTCTAACCAAGTAGTTCCTGACAAGTAAGGCATCAGAAAACATTCATTTTCAAATGACACTTTAGTGAAATGATCTTTCTAGAAATTGTAACACCTCATTCATTGAACTGGAAACTTATTTTTAGAGTGCCTGGGGTCTTTTAAAGAGCCGTCCTTTTGATAAGTAGTTATGGTGTTAGTCTGTGGTTCTGATACCAACATCACTTGATAACTTGTTTGGATATCAGCAAAATAGGCTTCATAATTTACGATAATTTCCACCCTTTGTGCTTGATTACCAACTTCTGTGAGGGTGAGTGTTTTGTTTTCAAGAAGTCTGTTGAATAGAAGGTGTGAATAACCCAGAAACAAAGACATTTCTAATAGTTTCCTCTTTGTAAACTTGAGTGATAATTTACAGTCCTTCACCAGAATGCGCAATGCTTGAAGATATTGATCCAAGGTTTTTTTTTTTTCTCTCCTGCCTGTTCTGGTTGCAAGTACATACCTGGAATATATCTCACTTTTTTGTTGGATGAAAGCTCTTTATCATGTTAATAGCTTCTTCAAAGTTTGAACATTTGCTGAACTTTAGATGACATGAATTTATAAGAGTATCCAACTCTTCACCCTCAATATGCTTGAGGAAGTTTAAAAAAATGTTCGGTACTAATGATTTCATATTTTCTCTGCCCTGGGAAAGGAGGCCTTACTATCTAGATCCAGAATTTTAGGTTTCAATACCCTGTCCAGGCTGATATCCAAAGCAAAATAGTTAATAGAATGTTGTAAACTATAATTAGTTAAAAGTATTCCCTAGTATTTTCTTTAAGGAGGTCAAGATTAATTTAGCAACTAGCTATATCAACTGCTGGTTTCCACCATTAAATAGTGGAGATTTGCATATGACTACAACACAGGTCATAATTAACCCCTGTCACAGTTGATGGGGATTTTTGGCTGCTACTGCTGCCAAGACAAAGCAATTTAGGGCAGAAGCAGTTTTCCTCAAGTGTTCATTTGCCTACCTGTCTGCTGCCAACTAATTCTGACAGCAGTGAGGCATTGTTTCCAAAAAAGGCAAAATAAACACAAACATTATATGAAATCAAATAACTTATGTTCCAATAACTTGGACTGATTTTAAATGTGAATTAAGTTTAAGCATCTAATGATTTTTCTTTTAGATTTAACAACTTAAGTCTTTGGCAATTTCAACCATCAAAAGATTAATGATCAAACAATGTGTTATGTTTCAAGAGTGCAACCGGAAAAATTGTTTGTAAATTCAATTGGGTTGGTGGCAGATGTGAAAACACCATTGCGTGCTCGTTTACGCAGTCCAGCTAAAAAAAAAAATTGCAGTGCACAAGAATGTGGCCAAAAATCCAGACACCTCTACTTGTTATCACATGCAGGAATTGAACCTCTCCAAAACGTTATATCGTTTCCCATTGCACTCTCAGTTGACCAATTATGTTGACCCCCCCCCCCAAAAAAAATCATGAAGTGTGTAAAATGCATTTGTTTGAATGTCCATTTTCGTAATAGGCTTTGATAACTAACACATTGTTAATCTTTCGATGGTGGAAATTGCCAAAGATTTAAGTTGTTAAATCTGAAAGAAAAAAAAAATTAGATGCTTAAACTTAACATTTAAAAGTTATTGGATCATCCTTTATATTCCATCTCTCGATATGAAATACTTTGAATAGCATCACCCTCCCACAAAAGGAGAATATTCAGCCCAACATATCAGATCAATAGAAATAGATTCTATATGCTGTTAGCAAAATGGAATAGAAAGTAACGAATTAAAAGGAGGCTAGTCTGGAGATTTCTACACCATGCAATTCTACAATAGACAGAAACCATAGAACACCACTAGTATTTAATCACTTTTTAAGCATTTCACCCCAAACAAGGTGGGAGTGCCACTAGCATGCAAGGGGTTACAGAGAGTGGGAACAAATGTAAAGATAGAGGAAAGGATGAAAAGAAGGACTGGGAATAAATCAAGGCATGATGTAGATTGGCATTGCATTTGAAGATCATAGCTATCAGAGAAGCAAGTAAGAGGAAGGTAGTTCCACAGACAGGAAGTGCAAGACATGAAGCTATTGGAGTAGAAGAGACGGCTACATTTAACCATTTTGACAGTGAAAGGGTGGGTTGAGATGCCAATCTAGTAGTACGTTTAAATTCATGCAGTTTGGGAACCAGTGAAAGTAGCTCATCGGAGCAGTTACAATTAAAGTATTTGTAGAAAAGAGGGAGGCAACAGCACGTCTGTGAGAGAACGACTGTAAATGAGATGCCAGATCAGGGCTAATTACATTGCATATCCATCTCTGAATTTTGTCGAGACAAACAGTGGGGGCTCCAGACCATATATGGCAGCAGTATTCCATGCAAGGGCAAAGGGACTTGTTAAAATATAACAAATTACATGTGTTTACTTGACCAAGAATCAGTTTCTTCAGTCTAAGAAAGAAAATTAATCAGAAAAGTGTTAAATGGAGAGAAAACTCATTAAAATGTTTTAAAACTTTTTATGATGTCAACACACTTAGCCAAATCTTCACTTGAGCACAATGAAACTAAATAACTTACTGGCACACATTCAATACCGCTGTCCTTTGGAAGAGATCCGCATGGGTTGGTATTAGATTTATCATAGCACCATTTCACTGCAAGTAAAAAAAAAAAAAAAAAAAAAAAAAAAATCTTTTCAGGTTCATGTGTAGATATTACATAGAAATGAAAGGAAAAAAAAAAAGGAAAATCAAGCAGCATGCAATATTAAGAACAATGGCAATTACCTTCCAAAATTACCCCATTTATCAACAATTGCTACCAGTGATCTTGAATACATGTTTAATGGAAAAAAAAAAAAAAAAAAGTTGATTTTTTATAAAAACAGAAGTGAGCTATGGTACAATGATTTATTCTCCCATTTGAATTTCCCATTATGGGCATCATTTTATCCATGATATAACACCAATTTCACAGATGGAACAAAATGGCTGAAAGGAAAAAAAGAATGACAAACATGCTTTGTTCTCAGAGACTTTCACAATATTAAGACATCTTGGCATGGTGTAATGGTTAGCAAGCTTGTCTCACGAGAACAATTATGACTAAGTAGTGAGTTTGATCCTAACTGGGCGCTTCACACTTTTGGCCTTGTGTCACATCTGAGCTATGCTTGAAAAATCTATAATACTAAGATATATACACACACTATATATGAGTGCTATGTGTTCACAATGTATAAAGACATGAACCCCAGGTTCAAAAGAAAAAGATGGGTTTGCTTAAACAACAACATGCAAACAGCTACATGTTTGTAAATTATATAACAAAATACACAATATACGAAAGTATGGAATGACAGACATACAATTAATAAAAGAACACTTATCTAATTTCATGAATTTGGAGTTCAAATGTTAAGTGACAAACAGACAAAGCTGCTGTAGAATGCTCACATAAAAGTTGGTTGTTTTTTTTCTTCTACAATATAAAATATAGGATTCTGGAATAATGTTTGTGCTCCATTTCCCTTGCTTACTTGGATTACAGAGATGAAAGTATGATGATTTTTGTATTTCTTTGGGTACAATATTCCTTTATCCGTTCAAATAGATCCAGAATCTCTGGGATGAAATTTCTTTATTCCTTACATAACAAATAATGGAATAGTTTTGTGGGTGTATTTTTCATCCCTAACAATCTCATGGGGAGAACATTTTTCTCAAACTGTTGCAGTCAGGTCATTGGAAACTAAAATAACAATATGAAAATCCCACTTGGACATGAGCTTAGGTAACCGATTTTTTACACACTTTCCTCAGAAGAACATCAACACAAAAATCACAGCAAATAACTTCAATCACAATAATAAATATCTGAGGAAGTAAAAGTTTGAGTAAAATTTTACAAGACAGGAATCAAACTAATCATTAAATCATTAACAAAATAAAAAAATAAAAAAATTATTTTTTTTTTTAAGCGTTTCACCCCAAGCAAGGCGAGAAGCCACTAGGATGCAAGGGGTTACAGAAAATTTGGAACAAGACCAGATAGGAGTGATAGAAGAAAGGATGAGGAGAAGGGTAGTGGATAGATCAAGGCAACTGGAGATGTCGATTGACATTACTTGAACCTTAGTTAAAAAAAAAAAAAAAAAGATGTCGATTGAGATATAATCTCAAATTGTGTTAAATAAAAACTTGTCAAGTTGAAATATCAATACTGCTCAATTTTAAGACTAAATATTTCCCAAATTGAGAAACTGACAATCTTCAAATCTCTTCTCTAAATCTCCATTGTAAGCTACTTAGTTTTCTCTGGGATAAGATTTTCACATTAATTATTGAGTAAATGTTTATACTGAGAAAATGAATGTTCAGCAACTACATTGATAACAGGCATCCATATAACCTTATTGACAATCTGTTCCAAAAGAGGAAATCTGCTCTTATTTACATCCCATTATGCCGGGATGTTAAGAGTCCTCAAGTCATTTTGGTAATTCCCATAAGTTTGAAATTCTTCAAGAAAATTAGAAGCATCTTGCAAGATCCTTAATGGTTCCAAAACTATCAATATCATGATGGCTTATACACAGCGTTTATTTAGAAGCAAACAGATGAGTTGACTTGTAAAAGTCAGACACAGGGTGGGTATCCAGGTATTTATTCAGTTTGAAATAACATGTGCAGAAAAAAATTTTCAAAATTTGAAATAACCTTTTTTATTTTCTAGTTCAAACAGAAGACAGTTTCTAGACCAAATGTTGATTTTGACATACCAGTATGCAAATACCATTTTACATCCTCCATGTCATATACATCACATGCAAGTAGAGACTTAGTTTTATCTAAGCTTTCAAACTTATTAAATGGCTCCAGTTCTCATTTATAAAATGTAAATTCAGGCACGAATTATGGTAGGATGCTTGATGTAGCTGATCATCTAATTCTAGAATCCTGTCTACTGCACAGTCATGACTTTTTTTTTTTGCTTAAAGAATCCTTCATAAAACTGTATATAGGATGAGCCATATTTGTCTGCATTAAGACAGGAATTCCATCTGATTACCACTGGCACAGGGGGTAGTTTCATTTGTTCCCCAGGCAAATAGCCTTCAAGCTATTTTAAGTATTGCTGTTTTCGTTTTAGCTTTAAAAAAAAAAAAAAAAAAAAAAAAAAAAAAGGCTTCATGAAAGTAGAGAAATGGCTAATATCAATATATTTTGGCTAGTGTGAAAAATGCTTCAACAATATTTAAAAATATATGCTAAGCATAACACATGGTAACTATTAAACATCTTATTATAAAACACAGATTGTGTGTGTGTGTGTGCGTGTGTGACGTTTATATATTGGATTGGATTTCCTACATTTTTTTAGCCAATTTCAACAAAACTTCACAGGACTACATAAAATTACCTTGTGGTGGTTCTAACAGCGCCGAAAATGGGAAAAACAATTTTTTTTTAACAAAATCAATTTGAAAACACGATTAAGACACATCGTGAGAATGAAAGGGGGACAACTCACATCGTGTTAAAAAACCCATGTTATTTGCGTGTGTGTGTGTTCCTTTATATATGGGATCAGATTTCCTACATTTTTCAGCCACTAAAACAAGCATTCACTTTTTTTTTTTGGCAGGTAGTGTTTCTTATTGTCTTGCACACTTTTTTTATTTATACATTCAGAATTCAATTACCCTAATAACATAACTTAGAGCATTTGTTTGTGTGTGTGTATATAATATATATATTTTAAAGATTCTTTTTTTTTTGTCAATATCTAAACCTGTTTTTACTTTTATAAGTTTTATTAATAAGCAACAAATTTCCAAGATGGTCAAATCTAGTCAATAGTGAATCAGCCACAATTTATTTCACCCTCAAAATTTGTAGCTGTTCCTCAAAAAAAAAAAAAAAAACACAAAAAAAAACCCACTATCTAAAAGTAGTGCAAAGCCTGAGTGGGAAAATCTGAAGATTTTTATGCAGAAGAAAATGTATTTTGCAAATTCAATCTCCTTAGTATTGACATTTTTAGGGTTGACAATCAAAAATCCATTTGACAAAAAAGTAATCTCAACTGAAACAGATAATCATGACTTTGAATTTAAAAAGTACAAAATTTTTTTTTTTTTTTTGCCTTCAATCTCCCTACACAAAATTGACAAAATAAGGCCATTGATATTAAAGCATTGCAAGGAGGGTTATGCTATTCAAAGTGTGAGGCAACTAGGCAACTTCATCTGCTCATATTGTTTGCTTGTCACTTTGCTGCCCTGAAAACCAAGCTTGCTAATCAATTTGTCAACATGCAGAAAAAAACTGTCCTGATCACAGCATTTTGAATGTGATTGCAAACATTCATGGGGAGCCATGCCTGATGTTGTAACCCTGACAGAATGCAAACCTCTAACTGTAAGTCAAGCATGCATCCAAGTTGTAACTAGTGTTGATATTGAATTTGAGGATATTACTGCATTTGTCACAGATTCTGCAGTCTATTGTAAAAAGGCTCATAGGGAAGTTTTATCAAATACTAGCAGTAGAGCCCGGTGTTGTCCGGGGATATAACAGTAAGAGATAGATCAAGTATCGACTATCAAAGACTGAAAAATAAAATTGACAAAGAATATAGCTTAAGGTTGACGGACACGCAAGTCTTAATTAGTTTTTTTTTTTTTTTTTTTTACGAAATTGGTCAAACCCAAACTCAAACAAAAACATTGAATAGAATTTTATTATAAACAATTGTCTTGTAAATGGAATTTTTAAAGCATTCTGAATGTAAAAATAAAGAAAAAAGTGTGCAAGACAATAAGAAACACTACCTGCCAAGGAAAAAAATAAAAAAAATAAAAAATAAATGAAGTTTTGTTGAAACTGGTTGAAAAATGTAGGAAATCTGATCCTATATATAAACAAACACACAAAAACAACCAACCTGGGTTTTATAATAAGTAAAACTCGATATGAGTTGTCCCCCATTCATTAATGCCTCTTAATCATGTTTTCAAATTGATTTCGTGCAAAAACAATTGTGTTTTTCCAATTTTTGGTGCTGTCAGAACCACCGCAAGGTAATTTTACGTAGTCCTGTGAAGTTTTGTTGAAATCGGTTGAAAAATGTAGGAAATCCGATCCAATATATAAACGTACAGACAGACGCACACACAATCTGCGTTTTATAATAAGATATATATATCTGAAAACGAAGTGAAAGTGAAGATAACTCCACACTTAGAAACAGCGCTACAGAATCACCCACATTTGGGGCGATCACAAAGGTCAACTCAACTAAAGTGCAATGGTAGCTCTGGGAGAATTTAATGTGAATTTTAGTACAGTGTAACTCGGATATAAGAGAGATTTTCTCTGGTCCCAAATTAGAGCCTGTGTTAATGTATATTAATGTAAATTAGACCCGGATATAAGAGACTTCTTCTCTGGTCCCAACAACTCTCTTATATCCGGGTTACACTGTATAAAATTTTCCTAACATTTCTAGAACTGATGTTTGTTATGTCACGTTCTCTTCCCTTTGTTAGATTCATCAATAAAAATCTTAAATCTAAAGACATCCATTTGAAGGACAAAAGGCATAATTTTTTCAAATTGTCATTTAATTTAACCCTCCATGTTAGACTATA